TGACTAATGCAGCTATTCGGTAAGAACCCCGGTGCGCGCAGCTGGCCATCTTTATGGAGGCGAGAGAAGGGGCGCGGGAGCCGCTGCGGGAGTTACCGTATTTGCGTTGGGCAGCGCGGACTAGAGGACAGGCACTGCTGGACACGGGAGGAACGGGGGCGCAGCCTGGGCTGTGAGTGTGGGATGGGGTGAGAAACTTGGGGGAGGAGGGGGGGCATGGCCTTGGACCCTCTCAGCGGGGGGGAGGGGTCTTGGTTGGGGGTATAACGGAGGAAAGTGGGCAGGCTGCCCAGGGACCAGGCCAGGCTGAGACTGGCCAAGGGGACTGCGATGATCTGCCTTTGCCATGTCAATGCGGCCGCCTGGGGGAACACTTGTGGGTGGGTGGTCTATTTCAAGTAGGACTGGTCCCCTTCTTCAGGGTGAGGGTGTGTTCCATCCTGGCCCGGGGGTTCGGGGAGACCGAAGGGGGATCTTTGAAGCCCCACTCTGCAGACTCACTGAGGTGGCAGTAAGCAGGGGATCTGAAGTGTGGGGAAGGCCTGCATGGAGGTCCCGGGGAAGGACCAGCAAGCTCCCCTGACGGGGGTGGGGGAAGGCAGGGGAGTGGCCAGGTCAGCTGCTCTGGAGCAGGCAGGCTCAGAGCTTGCAGAAGCAGGAGCCCAAGGGTTTTCTGAGGCGCGGGGGTGATGAAGGCAGATAGGGCCCTTTGGGTATCCATGGCTCTGTGGTGTCTGGGATGATGGGGTTGGTCTTGTGATGTGTGCGTTGTGAGGAGAGGTTAGTTGGTGAGCAGCTAGCTAATACATTGAGAGGAGCTTTCAACAGCGAGTCAGGAAATGAAGGCCTAGTCCTGGCTCACCTTGCTGTGTGACCTTGGGCAAGTACGCTGACCTCTCTGGGCCGCAGTTTCTCCATCTATACATTGGGGTTCAGTGAGCCCTGCCCTTTCCTCAGGGCTGTACAATGGGAAACAATTGAAAAGGAGCAGGGTGCCCTGGGGGAGAGGATCCTTAGAAGAACCAGCGTGAGTGCATGGAGCCGCGCTTGGGGGTGCTTGTGGGGTACTGAGGCTGCACAGCCTGGGCCCGGCTTTGCTGTGGGGATGCCAAGAGGAATGAAGCGGAGCTGCCCTGGGAGCTCACATGCTGGGTCAGTGACTTGCAAACAAGCCTCTTACAGGCAAGCCTCATTTTTATAAACAAGGCTGCTACTTTAGTGTTTGACCGAGGCTATTTTCAAGTTTCAGGGGTTTTGTTTTGTTTCTTCTTTTAAGCTTTGCGAGAAATAGCTTTAACCCATCCCCTACCCTTCCCTCCAGACTGGGGATGCCCCTTCCCAACTCTCTCCTTGAGAAGCGGGTTGGAGAGAGAAGACACATCCCGGTGCAGGACAACTGGCAATAAATATGAGGAGCCCCTGAACCTGACCTTTCAGGGTTTGCTCAGTGCCTTGTACGGCAGGCACAGCGCTTGGTGCTGGGATTAAAGGCGGCAGCGCTGTCCTTAAGGTGCTCACAGGCGAGAAGACAAGGTGGCATGACTGACATGTATGCAGTGTGATGGGTGAGGGCCATAAGGTTGGGCCATGGAGCTCCTGGAAGGCTTCCAGGAGGAGGTGGCACTCCAGAAGGGCCTAAGGAGGGGCAGGATGTGACGAAGGGGTAGAGGAGAACGAAGGGCATGCCTTGGAGGCACGCTGGCTTCCACGAGACTGCCACGGGGCCGATGCTGCGCGTTGTGCGAGGACAGAGGAGTGGTCTTGCTGAGGCCGCAGCTGGCCGATCCGCAGGTCCCCCCTGACTCCTCTCTCTGCTTCTGCCTCCCCAGGGGCTGGTGATTCCAGCTGGAAGCGCCCATGACCGAGTTGGCGTCCCCGGGGGGCGGGTCCCCCACGGGGGACGGGGAAGAGGGTCTGGGGGACGAGCGAGGCCTGGTCATCCACCACCCCACGGAGGAGCAGGCGCACCGCTGCCCCCTGTGCGGCCGGACCTTCTCGCAGCAG